GGGGCTCCCCCTCGCTCATCAGCCTGTTTAGTGTTTGGGAGGGACCCAGGTGCATCCTCCCGGAGCCTGCTGTTCTGTCTGCACACTGACCTTAGTAAGGAAGTCATTGAATAAGGCTATACACGCCAGAAGAGCCCGTGTATAAATCCCAGCTCTCAAAGACACTAACTTTAGGGCTGGGGTGTGGCTCAGAGGTAGAGTGCTTGCCTGGCATGCGGGAGGCCCTGGGCATGATCCCCAGCAATGAGGGGGGCGGGCAAGGTACTTTATTGGTCCAAAGCAACAAGAACAACAACAACAAGAGCAAGAACATTGTCTCCAGAGCTCTTCCTGGTGATCTTAAATCAATGACGGCTGTCTCTACTTGTGGGATGTGTGCACAGAGGAAGGGTTGTGTCGTAAGCCAAAAGAGAAGCAAGTGGTGATGGGTTGGATGGGTTTGCTCCTGATGGGGCAGGGAGACCTCCTGCTTACATCATCCATTTCGGATGTCCCAGGGTCTCTAAAATGCAGATGCTCCACGCTGAGCAAAGGGAACAGAACAACGAGAAGAAGGGTGTAGAGGAGCTGGTAAGCCATTCCCTGGGGAAGGGGCCCGGCGTCCGTGGGGGCTGACTCTCATGTGCAGGAGTGGCCAGGCCCTGGCTGATACACCTGCTCCCCTGGAAGCCGCGCGCCCCGCAAGTTCCCGGAGGTGGCAGAGGGTTTGCTTTCGGGACTCTTGAGTGCTGTTGGGAAATGTGTGTTGACACAGGCGATAACCTGGCAGGACGGGAAGTGGGAGGGAGGCCGGCTCTGGCCAGCAGGCAGCTGAAGGGCCCGTGGACGCCGGATCCTTGGATACGTGGGTTATTTGCCCTGTAATGAGAGGACAGCAGAAAGGGTGCCCAGGGCCCCCTCTTGAGCGTTCTGGAACCTGTCCATATGAACAAGTGTCCACACTCAGCTGTGAACGCCTCGGCTGTCAAAGGGTAAATCTCCAACTTTCCCCTTTCCAGGTCCAGAGAGCTCATGCCTTTCCCTGAAGCACCCAGTCGATGCCTTTCACCTTCCCCAGAGGCCGTCAGCTTCCCATGGGGTGACCTGGCTGGGCCTGGGAACCCTCTTTGAGAGGTGAGGGCTTTGATGTGCGCTAAGGAGCGGGCTGATCTTAAGCAATCGGTGAACTTCAGCCACTGCTTCTATTTCCTCATGACAGGTGTGGAATGAGCCAGGTTTCTTTGTTGACTCTGAAATTACCTTTGAGGACGATTATAGAAGAGGGGACCCCAAACCGTTTGGAATAAAATCCTGGAAGTAAGTGCAGGTCCCTCCCCAATGTCCCCTTTGTCGGGCAACGTGCCTTTGGTTGTGTACATTTCTGGTGGGTTTGGCGACCAGCGAGGGAGGCAGCAGCTGTACAGTCAGGCCACGCTCACGTCCTGGTTTATTCTGAGCTGGGCCACGCGCTGCACGCTGCTGCAGGTTGCGACAGAGTCCTGCCAACTGTTGTTCCAGGGAACCTCCGAGGTGGAGGGTGCACGTGTGTCTGTGTGTGCCCAGGTGCTGTGTGTGTGTGTGTGCACCTGGGTGCATGACCTGTGTGTGTGTGTGTGTGTGTGTGTGTGCATTGGGAGGTATTGGGAGGGGCATTGGAGGGTTGGGAAGAGGGTGGACAGGCTGACAGCAGCCCTCTGCAGCTCTCTGCGACTTGGTGGGGTTGCAGGAGCTGGCCCCCTGCACTGAGAGACATTTGGAAGCCTCTATCGACGTCTTCCAGAAACTTCTTAAACTATGGACCTGCTTGCTCCGTTCTGGAAGAGGAAATGAACTGACTTGATGATCCCTCGTGTACCTTTGCAGGCAGACCTGGGGCTCTGCTGCCACACCACCTCTTGTCCTCTCCTATGGGGTGTGTGCACGTGAGTGTGTACATGTGTGAGCACATGAGCGTGTGCACATGTGTGTGCATGAGTGTGTGTGTGCGCCTGAGTGCCCTGGGCCTTAGGATGCTGGTGAGGCCAAGGGATGATCTAGGACCTGCTCCTGGGACCTGCTAAGGTGTGCAGCTGGGCTCACAGCAGATGGCCCTGCCTGTGCCTTGGGGTGGGGGCAGGGAGGGCAAAAGCTACCTGTCAGGCTGTCAGCACCCCACTCTGTCCCCCAACCCTTTCCTCCTCGGAAACTAACCCAGAGCAGACAGGAGGTGGGTGCCACTGGAAAGAGGCCTTTGGGGTGGGAGGGACCTCAGGTGGGAATGGGGGAAACGCTTCCTGGTCCTAGGAAGGAAGAACAGAGTGGGGGGCTGGTGACCTGCAGCCCCTCAGAGACAGGGAAGGGAGGAGGCACAGTGGGGACGTCTAGGGCCTGGCTCAGAGGGGTCGCCTTAGCCCTTGGACTTTGCCTGCACAGGCCTGGGCAGTGCTCTGGGAGCAAGAGGGGCCCTTCTTTGTCCCAATGTGTGCCATGCTGTTCCCTGGACCCGGGCCACGCCTCCCTCCTCTGCTCAGTGACAGAAGCATCCTCGTGGGGAAAAGCAAGGGAAGAGGGACTCCTACCTCCTTACAACAGGGCCCAGGGAAGCAGAGAGGCCACAGACGGAGCGCCCGTGTGTCCTGTCCCCAGGGACCCTGGGAGGCCACTGACCGTGTTTCCTAGGGCACCCGTGGTCCAGGCTGGGACGGGCCACCTCGGTGTGCGGATGCCCGAGGTTCTGATGGTCTGAGATTAGATTTCCTATCCGAATAGATGGCAGATGAGACCCCAGAGTTAGCTTTAAGTGAATTTAAACAAAAATAATATAGTGTATTTTCGTGCAAACTGAGATTTGTGTTCACTACCTTATCTGTGCCGAGAGGGCAGAGGTACCTGGGCTCAGAACGTCATGGGCTCAGTGGCTCTTTCCTGGCCTCGGCAGAGGTGGTGGCGGGAGGTCTCCCAGGAGGGACTCACTGGCGGGAAACTCCTGCAGAGGCACTTCTCCTTTGTCATAGCGGAGATTTGAAAGAAGACTCACAGGTAAATCTGAAATGCAGCGTGCACCCAGGGGTGCCTGTGCCTTGTACGCACAGACGGGGTAGCAAGAGAGGGCAGGGGCACAGCTAGAGAAGCTTCTAGAATGCTGCTTAGACCTCAACCCTCTTTCCCCCCTCTCACTTTACCTGCCATGACCACTGGCCTCAGTTTTGTGTTCGTCATTACCTTGTGTGGTTTAAAGTTTTACTCTGTATGTATGAGTCAACAAGCGGTGGATTGCCAAATTGCGCCTGGTTTTGATTTTTCTTTTTTTGTTTCTTTTTGTCTATGAGGCTAGGGATGGAATCCAGGGCCTGATGTGTGTGGAGGGGGAGGGGAGTGGGGGGCAGCACTCTGCCACCGAGCCCCTCCCCCGTGTTTTTGAACTTTCTCAAAATAGGACACACTGCGCAGACTCTGTGTCTTGCTGCTTCTGCTCATGAGATGAGTGCGTGTTGAGGCATACACCTATTGATCAATAATTGCACCGTGCTGCCTTCTAGAAATTATCCAGGACATGTCCAGGCTTTTGCTACTGGAAATAGCGTCCATCTGAATCTCCCCTAAAGGGAACGGGTCTCAAAGCCTGTCTTCTGTGATTCAGCTCCTGCCTCTCAGCTCCTGCCTGTGGGTCCTCTGTGCTTCAGGATCCTCAGCTATAAAATGCAGACAGTCATAGGGCCTGCCTCAGAGGGCTCTGAGGGGGACCAAGTGAGCTAAGTCGGAAACTTGCCTGGGATCAGTCTAAGGTTTAGCTACGATGGTGATGGTGATGATGGTGGTGATTTTCTTTCTCTCTCTCTTTTTTTCTTTTTGATGATGCTATTGGTGATTATGATGGTGATCATAATGGTCATGGTAATGAGGGTGAAGGTGGTGATGGTGGTGATGGTGGTGATGGTGGTGATGGTGGTGATGGCGATGATGATGATGATGATGGAGGTACTTGTGGTTGTAATGATGAGAACTTCCTGGGAATTTATTAGAATCAATCTTTACAGGCATAACCAAGTTAAAATGGGGTCATTGTAGACTCTCTAATCCTAGAGGACTGGTTCTATGTCCTTATTAAAAAAAAAAAAAAAACAAAACAGGAGATTTGGGCACAGATACACACTCAGGAGAATTCCATCTGGACTCGAAGACAGAGATCTGCAAGCGAGTTGATGTCCAAGATGGCCAGCTGCCTGCTAGAAGCTGAGAGCGAGGACAGATTCTCCCTCACAGCCTCAGAGGGAGGTTGAGCTCAGGCCTCCAGCCTCCAGCCTCCAGGAGAAAGTTCAGTAGTGGAAGCCACCCGTTTTGTGGTGCTTTGTTACAGTAATCCTAGCAAACTAATATGGAACAAGAATTCCTCTAAATTGGAAAGGTTCATAGCACTGGGAAGAGATTGATTTAAAAAAAAATGTCACTTATGTGCTATTAAGTTTTTCTTGGCATAATTTGTACCAGTTTAGCACTCAGTCTTTAAAGGGGGAAATCTAGAGGAAAGCATTTGAGGTAGAATTGGAAGGATGGTCAACATGGTGGAGCTGGTGTGGCTCTGTGTGTGGCAAGCAGTGCTTCTCAAAGGCACGGTAAGGAGACACTGCACAGAGCACTTCCTATTGGTGGAGGAACTAAGACTTCAAGGGCCAGAATCAGGCTGCTACCTGCATTGCCTCTCTGTGTACATAATGGCAAGCTTTACTGGAGGATTGGGTTATAAAAAGCTACCTGCATTTTTTTTTTTTGGTGGGGGAGGGGGGTATTGGGGATTGAACTCAGGGGCACTCAACCACGGAGCCACATCCCCAGCCCTATTTTGTATTTTATTTGAAGATAGGGTCTCACTGAGTTGCTCAGAGCCTCGCTGTTGCTGAGGCTGGCTTTGATCTCATGATCCTCCTGCCTCAGCCTCCCCAGCTGCTGGGATTAAAAGTGTGTGTGTGTGTGTGTGTGTGTGTGTGTGTGTGCCACTGTGCCCCACGTTTCCTGCATTTTAAACTATGTCTAATGTTAGTGTGGAAGAACAATGGCTATTCTTTGCAGCAGCCATTGTTGTGCATGTGTCCACTACGTGTTTTATTTTGTAGGGCTGATTTGCTAAGCAATTGGCTGAATCAAATCCATCACATTCACAGACCTGTTTTCTTGAAATGTTGTTTTCCCAGCATGGACAAAGTAGAAGATGGCGAGGCAGCAGGGTGGAATGTTGTCTGCTCAGAAGCAGGAGGTCAGCACCTACGCCTGATGGATTTTGGTCATGAGGCTTGGCTTTAGCCAAAGAGGCTATTGCAGATCGACTGTGCAAAGAGAGTTCTAGAAAGTACCAGGTGCTCCTGGTGAACACAGAGTTTGAGATGACACCAGATTCTCCGGTTTTGCTGGTGAGTCGGGTCTGTGCGGATTACAGGGCTCTGCAGTGCAGAAAGCTCCGGTTAGTGTTAGCAGCTGATCAAGTCAGGCAAGTGCCTGTTAGCCGGAGCTCCAGGGGTTGCAGCCCCCCAAAGCCAGATTCTTCTCTGTGGTGTTCCAGCTCTCAGGTGTGGGCGATGCAGCAGACCCTCGCAGCCCACCGCCGATTTCTTTCTGAGTTCTTCACACTTTTAAAAAGTTTTTTTTTTTGAGCCCATGACCCTAACTGGCTGGCTGTAGTACTCTCCATCCCGTCTCATTCCTTGGGACCCTCTGGGACCCTCTGGCACGGGGCACTAGAAAGATGGGATGGAGATTGGAGGCAGACTGGGGAGGAGGACAGGGCTTCCCAGCCTCCTGGCCTCGGTTCTTGTACCACAAATGAGGGAGGGTTTTCCACAGATGATGGTTGATCCAGGGTCCCCCTGGAGCTGAAGACAGAACTCTGGGTGTCACGGGGTGTGGATGGAAGTAGCTGTGGGCAGTGTGCATGTCCCCGGTGTGCCCAGTGTGGCCTTTCCTGCAGGGTGCACTCCCCCCAGGGTGTGCGTCCCCAGAGTGCATGCAGGGGTACAGTATGCACATCCCACCGTGTGTGCATCCCGGGTTGCACGTGTCCCTGTCACGTGCGGGATCCCCAACCAGCTTTTCCACAGGTGCCGCAGCAGGCCCCATCTCCAGGTCCACGTTAAGGTAGTTCAGCAGGCTCCGGGGCTCCTGGAGCCACGGGCGTGAGGCCCCCTCCAGTCCCTGTGATGGCAGTGAGTGAAGATGCCCCAGGCAGTGACGATTCCTGGGGACACAGCGGGGG